ACATTATCATCATGAGTCGTCCTCATTGTCGCCGTCATCCTTTTCAGAACTATTATCAGCATCATCATCCTCATCGTCGTCGTCAGCACCAGCATCATCAGCATCAGCATCATCATCATCATCATCATCATCATCAGCATCACCATCAGCAGCAACCCTCACCGTCACCATCACGATGATCAACATCGTCGTCACCATCAGCACCATCAGCAGCATCATGAGTATGATCATCATCATCGTCACCGTCATCATCTAAGCATTATCACCATCGTCATCCTCATCATCGTCATCATCAGCATCAGCATCACCATCACCTTCGTCGTCGCCACCGTCACCAGTATCATCATCACCAGCAGCATCATCAGCATCATTGTCGTCATCATCATCATGCCCCGCATGAACGTAGATTACTTTCCTTATGAATAACTCCTCATGTTCGCACCTCGAGGCTGGTCGGAAGGACGGGCCGAGCGTTTCGCCTGAGACTTCCTCACCATTTACGAGCCTGAAGCTGACAAACTGAGAACGGTTTCACAGTTGGAGGGCGGGTGGCTTCAGAAATGTGACTCTCGCCCTAGCGACGCGCGCACTCGCCTTAACATTTTGCAAGAGCTTCGCGGATTGAGGGCGGGTGGTTTTCAAAATGTGTCTCGCGCCTTAGCGCCGCGCACACTCGTCTTAAAAAGCAAGAGCTTCACGGATTGAGGGCACGTCGTTTTCAAAATGTGGCGCTCGCCTTAATGCCGAGCACATTCGTCGTAAAATCTGAAAGGGTTTAACGGATTGAGGGCGGTTCCTTTTCAAACTGTGGCTCTCGCCTTGCCGCGCACATTCTGCTTGGAGATCTGCAAGAGCTTCACTGATTCAGGGCGGTTCCTTTTCAAAATGTGGCTCTCGCCTGAGCGCCGCTCGTTGTCGCTAAACATTGCAAACCTTCGCGAACTCGCATGGCGAACCTTCCAGGAACGATTGTTTCGAACGGTTCTGGATTGTAAGGGCGCAACAGTTACGTTGGTTCGCCGTGCTGAATTCCCAGGAATGGTGCTCTGACACGATGCATGATCGCCTGGGCGAAACAGTCACGTTAACGCGTGACGTCGAAGTCCTGAGAATGGCGTTTCGGAGCGCTCCAGGATTTTCACACGGTTGTCTCCCAACGGGGTACTTCCCTCAGTGGAAGTGAACCCCATGTATGGGACCTATGAAGAGGGAGCGTGGAGGGAGGGTATATCCCAACATCGTTGGTGAGTCCTGGGTTTACCCTCCTCATCCTCCTCACCCTCCTCCTATCATCACCATGATCACCAACGCCAACACCAGCATCAACATCATCCTCATCATCACCACCACCACCGTCACCACCACCAGCACGAGAGGGGAAAGTTGGGGCCTACGACTCCAGGGCCATGCTCCCCGAGTCCTCGCAGAACGCGGTCGTGCCGCCGCAGATCACGCCGCTGGGTGACGCTCTCTATTTCTTTCGCTTCCGACCCCCCCCCCACACCCACCTACCCCCTCCCACTCCTCACATGCATGCGCCGATAGCTATATATATATACATACATACATACATACATACATACATTTATATATATATACCTAAACATACACACATACATACATAACTACATGCATGCATGAATGCATGTATGCATACGTGCACACAAGCAGACGTATCTACAGAGAGACATACATACACACACATACATATTGGCATACAAACATACATACCTGCATACGTACATTCATGCATGCAGACATGCACGCATGTATTGTATGCATGCATGCATGCATGCATGCCTTCATACATGTCTGCATGCATGCATACATGCATATTTGCATGCAAACATATAGGCATGCACACCCAAACATACACAAATACGTACATATGCACATGCGTACATGCTTATATATACACATGCATACATCCATGCATGTATGCATGCAAGCATGCATACACGCATACATACATACCACTATGTATACCAATATACGTACGTACGTATGCACATACGCATGCATGCATGCATGCATGCGTACACGCATGTATGCGTTCATGCATACACACACACATATATATATGCACGCATAGACACACATTCATACATACAGACATGTGTACATGCATGCATACATGCATTGCGTACAGTACATCCATTACATACACCAAATGCATTGCATACCTCACATACACTAAAGTACATCTCACGACGTGAAGCCACAGTACACTACATCACACCCATACAAAACTACACACACACACATACATACATGCAGACACAAATACGAACAAACAAGCATGCATGCATGTATGCACGCATGCAATACAAAAGCATGTATACAGACAGACAGACAGACAGACAGACAGACAGACAGACAGGCAGACAGACAGACCTACGTGTGCGTACATAAATAATTACGTATATACATGCATCCAAAACATATATATATATATATATGTATATATGTATATGCACGATGTATATATGCGCGAACGCATTGTTAGCCAACGTGGTTCCCGAACCATAAGTTCGTGCACGGTGGATGCATCAGATATATGGCGCAAGCTACGTGGTGCAAGCTATGGGGTGTAATTAATTTCTGTTCGCAGTGAGTTGTCCACTCTTGCGCGCACGCAAACATCCCACCCACTCACCCGCAACTTGGTTTGCAAACCTCATGCGGCGGCGAGTGCGATGAGTGTTTGGCGTTGGCTGGTGCTGCTACGCGGCCTCGCCAGCCCGCGCATGCGCGCGCGCAGCGGTCAGGTAGTTTGGCGCGACCGACGAAGCCGCGGTGGCGCTGGCCGCTGGGCGCTTCCCAGCGGGCACTTGAGTGCGAGGTCGCTGGCTTGGGCGGGCGCGGTATCATGGCAACGTCGACAATTGTAGACACGATGACGATGATAGTGGCGATGTTGGTCACGACAATTGTAGACACGATGATGATGATAGTGGCGATGACGGCGTCGATGTCGATCACGCCACCGTCGATGACGGCGTCTTCGCGTCGGTGATGAGGGTTTTGGAAGGAATTCGAAACGCGCGCGCAACAGACGCGCGAGTGGCTCGCATGGTATCATGTGACACGGATCGTGCCACCCCACCACGCGCGCAAGGGCGTCCGAACGATTTCGACATGCGCGCGCGAAGCCCGTTTGGTAGCAGTTTATGAAGAGCTTGAAAATTCATGGTTTTCTAAAGAATTCACAGGTGCGCGCGCGCACGCTTTTGTTGAAAATCCGTGTTGATAAACCCGTGTGTTTGTATGTTGTTTGGACACTCGATTCTGAAATCCTTCCGAAACCGAGGGTTTTTAGAAGATTTCGGCATGCGCGCGCGACGACACGCGCGCGTGCACTTCGTCATATTTGTTGCAAGGGATTCTCGCGACGGCACGCGCGCAAGGGTGTTCGATCGATTTCGACATGCGCGCGCGCGAAGCCCGCTTGGTAGTATTTCATTGAAAATGTTGAGCAACGTGTGGTTTTCTCAAGAATTCGCAAGAGCGCGCGCGCACGCTTCTGTTGAAAATCCGTGTTGCTGAAACCGGTGTTTTTCTGTTTTTTGAACACTCGATTTTGAAATCCTTCCGAAACCAGAGGTTCTTAAAGGATTTCGGCATGCGCGCGCGACGACGCGCGCGTGCGCACTTCGTCATATTTGTTGCAATGGATTCTTGGAAATTTATGATCTTGGATAAACGAATGTGCGCGCATAATTCTTGTTGCAGAGGATGGCGAGGGGAGCCGATACCGGCCTATCTGGGATTGCATGAATTCACAGGTAGGATGGACATTGGGTCAGAATCCTATGTGTTTTACATCGGTTCCGGGGGGGGAGGGTGGTAAAACCTAGTTCTTTTTTAGAACAGAGAATTCACTTTGACTGTCTTGAAGCTGTCCGCTCCACTGCCCGTGCAAACATCCCACCCTCCTACCCGCAACTTGGTCGCAAGACCTTTTGAGACCGTGACGGTAGGTACCACATGGCACTTGGCAACGACACCGACGCCGACAACATCGACAACGACGACGACGACGACGACGCCAACGACGACGACTACGACACCGACGACGACTCCAACGACTTGGACGACGACGACGACGACGATAACGACGACGACGACGACGACGACGACAACGACGACGACACCGACGACGACGACGACGCCGACGCCGACGACGACGACGACGACGACATCGACAACGACGACGACGCCGACGACGACGACGACGCCGACGACGACGACGACGACGCCGACGACGACGACGACGACGACGACACCGACGAAGACGACGACGACAACGACGACGACGACGACGACGACGACGAAGACGACGACGTCGCCAACGAAGACGACGACGACGACGACGACGAGGGAGGGAGGACGACGACGGCGACGAGGGAGGAGGGAGGACGACGACGGCGACAACGACGACAACGACGAGGGAGGAGGGAGGACGGCGACGACGCGAACGACGAAGAAGAAGGGAGGACAGCGACGCCGACGACGACAACGACGAGGGAGGAGGGAAGACGACGACGACGACGACGACGACGACGACGACGACGACGACGACGACGACGACGACGACGACGACGACGACGACGGCGACGAAATAGGAGGGACGACGACGAGACGCCGACGACGGACGACGACAACGACGACGACGACGACGACGAGGGAGAAGGAAGGACGACCACGGCGACAACGACGATGACGCCAAAGAGGACGACGACGACGACGAGGAAGGACAGAGGACGACGACGGCGACGACGACGGCGACGACGATGGGGGAGGGAGGACGGCGAAGACGACGACGAGGACGGCACAAGAGCGCGCGCGCACGCTTTTGTTAAAAAACCGTGTTGCGAAACCCTGTGTGCTTGAATGTTTTTTGGACGCTCGACTTTGAAATCCTTTCGAAACAGAGGGTTCTTTTTATAGATTTCGGCATGCGCGCGCGACGGCGCGCGCGTGCGCACTTTGTCATATCGTTTGTAAATGATTCTTGGAAACTTACAATGGTTGATAAACGAATGTGCGCGCATAGCAGTTTTTTGAGAGGATGGCGGGTGGGGCGATACCGGCTCCCCTGGGATAGAGCAAATTCATATTTAGGATGGACGATGGGGCAGATCATATGTAAATTGCACTCCGAAAAGGGGAATCGTTAACCCTGGGGGGGGAGGGGGGGGAGAACCTCTCTTTTTTTAAAGGAGAATGTAAGTGGTGAAAGCTATGTGGTGCAAGCTACGTGGTCCAATCAACGTGGTGCAAGCTACGCGGTGTAACTTGTGTTGCAAGCAGTGCGTTGTAAGCTGTGGTGAAGCGCCACGGGCGGCACCAACCAGGCAATAGCCAAAACGCCGACACACCACCCAGCACACGAGGCGGCAACGAGGCGGCAACGTGGGGAAACCTCGCCAGACCCACCCAGCGCACGAGGCGGCCACGAGGAAGCCACAGGCGGCAACGCGGCGAAACCTCTCCGGACCGTGCCAGCGCACGAGGCGGCCACGAGCGACAACGGGAGGCAACGTGGCGAAACCTCGCCAGACCCACCCAGCGCATGAGGCGGCCAAGGCGGCCACGGGCGGCCACGTGGCGACACTCCGCCAGACCCACCCAGCGCACGCACGGGGGGCCACGAGGCGGCCACGGGCGGCCACGTGGCGACACCTCGCTGGATCCACCCAGCGCACGAGGCGGCCACCAGGCGGCAGCATGGCAACACCTCGCCGGACCCACCCAGGACACAAGGCGGCCACGAAGCGGCCACGGGCTGACGAGGCGGCCACGAAGCGGCCATGGGCGACAACGTAGCGAACCCTCGCTGGACACACTCAGCGCACGAGGCAGCCACGAGGCGACCACGGGCGGCACCTTGGAAATTCCTCGACGCACCCAGCCAACTCCTCAGTAAGATGTAAGTTGCTGCACTGTGGATGTGTACGCTATGTGGTGCAAGCTACGTGGTCTAAGCTATGTGGTGCAAGCTACGTGGTGCAGAGCTACGTGGTGCAAGGGACGTGGTACAAGTTAAGAGGTGCAAGCTGCACGGTGCAGTGCAAGATCCGTGGTCAAATCTACGTGGTGCACGCTAGGCGGTGCAAGCTGCACTGTCTCCACTGTCCCCCCCACTGTCCCTCTGTCCCCACGGTTGACACCACTGTCCCCACTGTCCCCCACCAATGCCCCCATCACTGTCGCACTGTTCCCACTGTTCCCATCACTGTCCCCACAACAGTCCCATTCTCCCCACTGTCACCACTGTCCCACCGTCCCCACTGTTCCCAACATTGTCCCCACGACAGTCCCCACAATTGCCCCCATCGCTGTCGCACTGTCCCCACTGTCCCACCACTGTCCCCACCACTGTCCCCACCACGGTCCCGCTCCCCACTGTCCCCACTGTCCCCACCACTGTCCCACTGTCCCTGGTGTCCCCACCACTGTCCCACTGTCCCCACGGCCCCTACCGCTGTCCCACTGTGCTGTCCCCACTGTCCCCACTGTCACCACCACTGTCCCACTGTCCCTACTGTCCCCACCACTGTCCACAGTGTACCACCGTCCCATTGTCCAACCACCGTCCTCACCACCGCCTTCACCACTGCCCCCACCACCACCGTCCCCATCACTGTCCCAGTGTCCCCACCACTGTCCCACTGTCCCCTCACCACTGTCCCCTTCACCACCGACCCCCCCACTGTCCCACTTTCCCCAACCTGTCCCCAACCTGTCCCCACCACTGTCCCAGTGTCCCCACTGTCCCCACCACTGTCCCCACAATCCCCACCAGTGCCCCCACCACTGTCGCACTGTCCCCACTGTCCCCACCACTGTCCCCACCACGGCCCCACTCCCCACTGTCCCCACCACTGTCCCACTGTCCCCAGTGTCCCCACCACCACCACTGTCCCACTGTCCTCCCACTGTCCCCACCAGTCACCCATCACTGGGGCACTTCCCCCCAATCCCGACTGTCCCCACCCACCACTGTCCCACTGTCCCCACTGTCCCCACCACTGTCCCCACAATCCCCACCAGTGCCCCCACCACTGTCGCACTGTCCCCACTGTCCCCACCACTGTCCCCACCACGGCCCCACTCTCCCACTGTCCCCACTGTCCCCACCACTGTCCCACTGTCCCCAGTGTCCCCACCACCGTCCCACTGTCACCACCAGTCACCCATCACTAGGGCACAGACCCCAATCCCGAGTCCCCACCCACCACTGCCCCACTGTCACCACTGCCCCCACCACTGTCCCAACTGTACCACCGTCACATTGTCCCATTGTCCCACCACCGTCCTCACCACCGCTCTCACCAGTCCCCACCACCATCCCCGCCGCTGTCCAACTCTCCCCACTGTTCCCACCACTGTCCCCACTGTCCTCACCGGTGCCCCCACCACTGTCGCACGGTCCCCAGCGTCCCAACCACTGTCCCCACCAGGGTCCCACTTTCCACACTGTCCCCACTGTCCCCACCACTGTCCCACTGCCCCCACACCCCACCACCATCACCACCACCGTCCCAACCACTGCCCCCACCAGTCCCCCATCCCGAGTGGGGGAAAAGGGAGTCGTTGGCTGGCGGCGAAGAGGTGGGGGGGTCGAACCGATAGCGACGCCCCACTCCTTTCATGATTCATGATGGACCCCCTGGCTTTCGAGGGGGTCGGGGGCGGGTTTGAAATCTCCAGTGACCCCCCCCCCCGTGTTCTGCCAGCAGCGGCAGAACACGCTCCTTCATATATATATATATATATATACACACAGAGATACATCTATATGTAAAAAATATGTGTACATATACACACACACACATTAAAACCATCGCGCGCTTCGCGCGCGCTCAGGTTCTCCAGAACCCCAGCTCGCAGTGAGATGCCGAGGGCTGGGCGACGGTTGCGGATATGACTTTAGCCCGAATGCGCTGCGGAAACACGTAGTGAAGAGCCCTCCCCGGGGGAGGCGGGAGACTCCAGGAGGACGACGAAGAGAACGAGGGGGGCAGTTTGGTCAAGAAAGGGAAGAGTTCAGGAGAATGATGGCGGCGACGACGAGGGCAGAACGGGAAGGAGGGGCAGGAGCAGAAGGAGAAGTGGAGTCCTTGAAGACGAACAACAGGAGGAATACACAAAGAGGAGGGGCATCCGTGCCCCTCGTCCACGTGTGCCCCTCCTGGTGAGCTTCTGCACATCCTGCCACCGAGCCTGGGTTGTTGGTGTGAGACTTCGTAAATGCCTGTTCGCGTCTCTGGGGAAACCTCTAGGTAGCTTGTTGGAAACAGTGGTGAAGCCTCTTGGGACGCGTTTGGGGGTCTCTTCGGGGCCTGTCTTGGGTCCTCTCGGGGGGGGGTCCTTGGGGCTTGCTGGCGATCTTCGGGGTCCTCTTGGGACCGAGACCTCGAAATATGGGTTCGCATCCCGCCCCCCCACGAGCCCCTCTTGGGGCCTTCTTGGGCGGTCCCAGGCGCCTCTTGGGCCGTCTTGGGGCCCTCTTGGGCCGTCGTGGGGCCCTCTGGGGGACCCCTTCGGCCTTTAGGGGGCTCTCCTAGAGGCCTCTGGGCCCGTCTTAGACGCTGGGCACATGAGAACAACGCTTGCGATAGAAATGTGCGCTCTCCCACGGGAAAGGGGGCGATTTTACCTCTTCGGGCTCTCTTGAGGATCCTCTTGGAGCCGTCTTGGGGCATCCTGGGGGCCTGATGGCGATCGTCGGGGTCCTTCGAGGCCTCGAAGCGTGGGTTCGAATTCCCCCCGCGGGGCCCCCTGTTGGCGCTCTCTTCGGCCGCCTTGGTCCTGGGTGCCTCTTGGTCCGTCTGTCTTCACGCCCACGACGCAGGTATCCATGGTGGCATGGAAAATGCTTAATTGTTGCCCTTGGGGGGGCCTTCTCGGCGGCCTCCTGGACTGGACTGTCTGGGGCCTTCCTGAGGCTCTCTTGCGGCCTTATTGGGGCTCTACTGTGCTGCTTGAAGCTCTCTTCAGGCCGCCTTGGGGTCCTCTTGGGGGCTTCTTGGGCCGTCTGGGGCATGCAAGTTTAGATATGAGGTGATGTGTGTATATATATGCATATATACATACTATGTACTTTCAGAGGTAGTACATGTTTGCTTAACTATGTATGTATATATACATGTACATACATGTACATACATGTTATGAATATGTTTGTTTGCACATATGTATATATGTGTGTAAATATACACATATATATATAATTTTTTATTTATATATATATATATGTATATACAGACATGCATACATACAGACCTACCTACCGACCGACCTACCTACCTACCTGCAGACAGACAGACAGACAGACAGACAGACAGACAGACAGACAGACAGACAGACAGACAGATAGACAGATAAACACACATAAACCAACAAAACCAGAGAGGGAGAACTGCTGAGAGCCCATGAGGGAGGAGGTGGAAAAGGAGCAGGGAGATAGAGAAGGAAAAGGGAGGGGAAAAGCGACAGGCCATCGACGGACTCCCACGCCCCTCCCACACCCCGGCGCTGCGAGGGACCAGAGCGGGGGCAAGGAAGAAGCTCGGGTCTCTGGAGGCAATGCTCTGCTAGTTATGCCCTGCTCCCCCTGGCGCCCGGTCGGGGAGACCAGCGGGGGCATGCCAGAGGCCGGAATGGAGTTGATGCGATGCACGCCCACCGCCTGAGGGCCCGGCGTCCCAGGGCCCCAGGGGGCGGTGGCTGGGCATGTGCCGGGGGCCCCCCCGCTGGCTCCTGGGGTCCTGGGCGGCGGATGTGGTCAGAGCCCTGGCCCTGGGGTATGCATCGGCTGTCGATTGCCGAGGCGAGGCGAAAGACGGCAGCGCCCACCCAAGAAAGCGGGTCAGGGCCTCTCCGCCGCCGCAGCGGACGGCAGCGACGCAGCGGCCGTCGAGAGCAGGACCGTCGCGGCCGCGACCATGAGCGATGCAGCCGCGGGGGCGGCAGCGGACACGTGCATGAAGCCGTGCGCCTGCCCAGGTCCCCTCGCGTCGTGGACACCATCATCATCCTCATCATCATCATCATCATCATCATCATCATCATCATCATCATAACCCCTCTGATCATCATCGTCATCATCATCTTCATCATCATCATCATCAGCATCATCATCACCATCATCATCATCACCATCGTCATCGTCATCGTCATCTTCATCGTCGTCATCATCGTCGTCATCGCACATCACCACTACACATAATCACAATCGTAAGCATCATCATCATCATCATCATCATCATCATCCATCATCCACCATCAAACAAGATCATCATCATCAGCATCAACATCATCGCCGACGTCATCCTGACAAGCATCGCCGTCATGATCATCATCATCATCATCATCATCATCATCATCATCATCATCATCATCATCATCATCATCATCACACGTTATCACCACTCATTAACAACAAACGTAAGCATCATCACCATCACCATCCACCATCATCCATCCTCACCCTTAAGCAGACATCACCATCATCACCGAACATTCACCATCTACCATCGTCACGCATGATCCATCATCACCCATCATCATCATTCCAAGTATTATGATCAGCATCATCAGCAGCAGCGATATCATCATCGTCCACCACAACCCATCATCATCGTCAGCAGCAGCAGCATCGACATCATCATGATCATTGTCAGCAGCAGCAGCAACATCCTCATCATCTGTACTATGAGATTATCATCTCCACCCATGACAATCACCATCATCGTCAGCAGCATCATCGTCATGCTTCTCGTCATCGCCATCGGAATCGTTGTCGTCATCAGCGCCGTCATCATCATCAGCAGCAGCAGCTGCATCAGCAGCAGTGTCCTCATCATCATCAGCATCATCAGCAGAATCATCATTGTCAGCATGATCGTCATCATCATGATCATCATCAACATCATCATCATCATCACTATAACCATCATCATCAGCATCATCGTCAGAATCATCATCAACAACTGCATCGTCATCATCATCAGCAGCAACAGCATCAAAACCATCATGATCATCAGAATCATCATCATCGTCATCGCCATGTCATCGTCATCAACATCATCATCCTGCTCCTCCTCCTCATCCTCATCATCATCATCATCATCGTCATCATCATCATCATCATCATCATCATCATCATCATCGTCATCATCATCGTTATCATCGTTGTCAGAAGCAACATCAGCACCCTCAACCTCCACCCCAACCTCTACCCCTCCCCCTCCCCTCTGCCTCACCCTCAGATTCCCTCTCCATCACACCTCCACGCCCCTCCACCGTCCACCAGCCATCCCTCCATCATCCATCACCATCATCCAACACCCACTGGCCATCAACAGCATCCATCATCACCCACGACACTAATAATCATCATGAACACCATCACCATCACCATCACCCATCATCATCAGCAGCAGCAGAATCATCATCACCAGCATCATCATCACCATCATCACCATCATCACCATCATCAGCATCATCAATATCATCACCACACACCTTCGTCATCACTGCCATAGTCGTTATCATAACACTCAGCACCCAGTATCCGTCGTATTCATCACAAGTAGCAGCATCATCGTCTTGTTTCTCATCATCAGCAGCAGCATCACCATCGGCATCGGAATCGGCGTCGTCATCGACGGCATCAACATCATCATCATCAGCATCATCCTTATAGTCAGCAGCAGTAGCATTAGCATCATCATCAGCATCAGCATCATTAGCATCATCATCACCAGCATCAGCACTATCAGCAGCATCATCAGCAGCATCGTCATCGTCATCGTCATCGTCATCATTATCAGAATTATCATCATGCTCAGCATCATAGTCGTCATTTTCCTCTTCATCATCATCATCATCATCATCATCATCATCAGCAGCAGCAGCAGCATCACCATCATCGTCGTAATCATTATTGTCCTCCTCCACACCACCAGCATCATTAGCAGCATCATCATCAACGTCATCATCACCGACCATCATCATCACCATCATCCATCGTCAGCATCATCATCACCAGCATCATCCTGACACTCACCATCCAGCAGTCACCATGGAGTCATCATCATATTCTGCATCATCAGCAGCAACAGCAGCATCCTCATCGTTATCAACATCATCGCCATCATCATCGTAGTCGTCGTCGTCATCGACGGCATCATCATCATCAGCAGCAGCATCACCATCACCATCACCATCACCATCACTACCACCATCAGCATCATCACCATCTTCTTCGTCATCATCATCACCACCATCACCACCACCACCATCATCATCATCATAGTCATCATCATCATCATCATCATCATCATCAGCATCATCATCAGCATCATGTATGCGTTCTTGTTATGCTTCGTCTTCTTCTTTACCATCATCGTCAATATCATGTTCATCATCATCGTTCTCCTCTTCATCATCATCAAACTCCACCTCCGCCTCCGCCTTCACATTCCCATCCCCTCCGCCTCATCCTCCTCTCTTCCCCCTCCGCTCCACCTTCACGCTCACGTCCACGTCGCCGTCTACCTCCTCCCTCCTGCCTCCCCCTCCAATTCCACGTCCGTGGCACCCACGGCCGTGGGGCAGGCGTATCTGCTACACACACACACACACACACACGCGCATCCACGGGCAGTGTCGATCCGCGCCGTTTCGCTCGACCCGGTGCTTCTGTGGCTGCCGAGATGTCGGGTGCCTTCTTCTCTGCACTCGAGTGCTGACGAGCGCAGCGAAGCAGCTGGTCTGCGACATGCGTCCCCGGAGGCAGAGGGCAGTTCGTGGGCTGCGGCCGCGCGCCCCCCAGCTCCAGAGGCCGCGGACCCCACAGCCTGGTAACTCCACCTCTGCCTCCGCCTCCTCCACGTCCTCCCCGTCCTTCTGGCTACCTACCAGACCACCCCAGCCCAACCCGAAGACCCGAACTTGACCCGAATTTCAGGTCTGGGGGGGTTCGGGTTCCGTGTGTTTTTCAATGTTCCCCGACAACCCCTGACTGGAAGTGGAGGGCAGATGGAGGCCTTCGGGTTGGGTTGGGGTGGTTTGGTGGGTGGTGACCTTCCTTATCCCCAGCTCCCTGCTTCCGCCACTTCTGCATCCGACTCGCTCCTCGTCGTTGCCGTCCCCCCTTCTTCTCCGTCCCTGTCCGGACGCCCTGGCCAGAAAGCCACTCTTAGGTCGGGCCTGTCCCCCTACATGGGGATTTGGGGCGAATAATTAAAAATACTCCAAAAATACTCCCTAGTCCCCAGACTATCTTTTAAACTATTTTTGACTATCCCTCCTGTAGAGGGACAGGCCCGACGTGTGCCCCTGCGAATGACTGAGAGAAGGACCGTGCCCGACTCCCAGAGACACAGCACCGACTTCAGGAAGGACCCCTGGCTCTCAGCGAAAGCTCCCCTTGACGACAGCGCCCTGACACACACCGCAGATTGTCGGGGGCGCGCAAACATGGATTAGCGATCCATGGATTTGGCGCGCGGTCGCCAAGTCCATGGATCGGGGGAGGTGCCCTCCCCGAAGAGCGGGCGGTGCCGCCTCGCTCGGCGGCTGAGAGATCCGCGGTTTCCCGTGGAAACGGGACCCGTCGCTAGTCCATTGCCTCCTCAGTCCGTGTTTGCGATCGCCTGAAGAGGAGGAGGAGGAGGAGGAGGAGGAGGAGGAGGAGGAGCAGGAGGAGGAGGAAGAGTGGACACCTCCCCGTGAGAAAGGAAAGCACACCGACGGCTCAGAAGGTGGCACCTGCCGCCGGGCGAAGTCCGGCGACCCCCGCCTGCGGGGGGGGGGTGCAGAGTGCGCGTGAGATGGTCGGCTGTCCCCCTCCTCTTCTCCCCCTCGAAAGGGGCCCCAGGACACACAAATAAATACACACAAATAAAAATATTCCCCATATTTCCCCATATTTTCTAGGTTTTCGTCTTCCCCCCCACTTCCCATATTTTCCCATATTTTCCTGGGACTCGACGATTAATTGTGTCTGTGTGTTTCTTTTCCTCCTGACCCTCCCTGGGGTCCAAGATGAAGTCTAAGGATGGGGAGGGGACGAGCTCCTCGGTGCGCCCCTGGGGGCCTCTGGAGCCTCCAGGAATCCAAGCTCCGTCGCCTCCGAGACGGCCAGGGTGCTCGCCCCGAGACGGCTCTCAAGCAGGGCACCCTCGCGCCCAGACATGGCCTCACGAGCACTCGAGATCGCCGCACGACGGGACCCCAAAGGCCTCCCACAAGGCGCCCCACAAGGAGGGCTCCAACAGCACCCCCAAGAGGGCCTCAGGAGGAGGAGGAGGAGGAGGAGGAGGAGGAGGAGGAGGAGGAGGAGGGGGCATAGGAGGAGGCAACCACCACGAATTGTCAGCTCTGGTGACTGAAACGCCACGGTCCCGCCTCTTCCGAGGCCTCGGCCCCGCTCGCTGGCGCCTCTGGGGCCCCGGGGGGACCGCCTTCTGCTCACCGCGGGCAGACCTGCAGGCCGCCCTGGGCGCCAGCTCGGGGACCGCCCCGCGCCGGCCCAGAGAATTCGGACGAGGACGACGACGACGACGACGACGACGACGACGACGACGACGACGACGACACGGGCACAGAGGGGGGAACGAACGACGCGGCGACAGGGGAGAGAGGACACCTGGAGCAGCCAGAGCGGCGAGGCGGCCGACGCCGCGCGCTGGCATCTTGGCCTGTGGTCGGCTGGATAGAGGAGGGAAGGGGAGGGGAAGAGGGAAGGGGGTACAGTCGAGGTTGATTGAAGAGGACACGCGAGAGGACACAAGACCCTTCCGAGGGCCGCATTGCCATAAGAATATAAAAGGCATGGATCGCCAAACACAGGGCGCAAGAGCACGCTTGCTTTGGCAGGGTCGACCTACCCATCCGCCTCGACTGCAGCAGCAGCAAGCAGGTGCTCGATGGCTTTCGCGCCCAAGACGGCCAAAGAGGCCCTCAGAGGGCTTGGAGACGACC